CCCCGTCTCTACTAAAAAACTACAAAAAATTAGCTGGGCATGGTGTCGCGTGCCTGTAATCCCAGCTACTCAGGAGGCTGAGGCAGGAGAATTGCCTGAACCCAGGAGGCGGAGGTTGCGGTGAGCCGAGATTGCGCCATCGCACTCCAGCCTGGGTAACAAGAGCGAAACTCCGTCTCAAAAAAAAAAAAAAAAATCATGTTAGATCAATTGGACATCTATAAGTAAAATAATGAACTTGATCTAAATCTCATGCCTTATATAAAAATTAAAACAGATCAAGGACTAAAATGCAAAACATATCTATAACACTTTCAGGGAAAACTACAGAAGAAAATCTTCAGGACCCCAAAGGCTTGGTGAAGAGTTTTTATATTTGACACCAAAGGCACAATCTGTAAAAAGAAAACATGGTAAATTGGACTTCATCAAAATTTAAAAGTTTTGCTCTGCAGAAGACCCTGTAAAGAGGATCCAAAGACAAGCTACACAGTGGGAGAAAATATATGCCAGCTACATATCCAACCAAGTTCTTTTTCCTTTTTGTGACAGTCTTGCTCTTGTGACCCAAGCTGGAGTGCAATGGCGCAATCTCAGCTCACTGCAACCTCTGCCTCCCAGGTTCAAGTCATTCTCCTACCTCAGCCTCCCGAGTGGCTGGTATTACAGGCCCCTGCCACCACACCTGGCTAATGTTTTGTATTTTTAGTAGAGACAAGGTTTCACCATGTTGGCCAGATTGGTCTCGAACTCCTGACCTCGTGATCCGCTTGCCTCAGCCTCCCAAAGCGCTGGGATTACAGGGGTTAGCCACCGTGCCGGGCCCAACCAAGTTCTTATAACTAGAATGCATAAAGAAATCTCAAAACAATCCAATTACAAAATGGGCAAAAGACATATACAGGCATTTCACCAAATAGGATATTCAGATAGCAAATAAATACCATGGAGATGTTGAACATCTTTAGAAACTAAGGAAGTGCAAATTAATATAACAATAAGATATTATAACACACCTATCAGAAGGCTAAAATAAAAAATAATACTGAATACTTGTGAGGCTGTAGAGACACTGGATCACTCACACATTGCCAGCAAGAATAAAAAGTGGTACAGCCAGCTGGGCACGGTGGCTCACACCTGGAATCCCATCATTTTGGGAGGTTGAGGTGGGTAGATCATTAGAGGTCAGGAGCTCAAGACCACCCTAGACAACATGGAGAAACCCTTCCTCTACTAAAAATACAAAAGTTAGCCGGGCATGGTGGTATGCACCTGTAGTCCCAGCTACTTGGGAGGTTGAGGCAGTAAATCACTTGAACTGGGAGGTGAAGGCTGCAGTGAGCTGAGATCGAACCACTGCACTCCAGCTTGGGCCACAGAGCAAGACTGTCTCAAAAAAAAAAAAAATTGTACACTCACTCTGGAAAATAGTTTTGTCAGTTGCTTATAAAATTAAACATGCAGTTACCATAGGACCCAGCAATTCCATTCTTAGGCATTTATTGCAGAGAAATGAAAACTTGTTTACACACAAAAAACCTGTACACGAGTGTTATAGCAGCTTTATTCAGAGTAGCCCCAAATTGGAAATAGCCCAGATGTCTCTCAACGTTTGAATGGTTAAAGAAACTGTGTTAAACTATGGTGCATCCATGCTACTCAGCAATAAAAAGAAAGGAACTATCGATACACACAACCACCTAGATGGACCACAAGTGAATTATGCAGAACTGAAAAATTCAACATCAAAGTCATATACTTGGCCTGGCGCAATGGCTCACATCTGTGATCCCAGCACTTTGGGAGGTTGAGGTGGGCGGATCACTTGAGGTCAGGAGTTCGAGACCAGCCTGGCCAACCTGATGAAACCCCATCTCTACTAAAAATACAAAAATTAGCTGGGCATGGTGGCATATGCCCGTAATCCCAGCTACTTGAGAGGCTGAGGCAAGAGAACTGCTTGAACCCAGGAGGCGGAGGTTGCAATGAGCCAGGATTGTGCCACTGCACTCCAGCCTGGACGACAGAGCAAGACTCCATCTCAAAAAGAAAAGTCACATACTTTATGATTCAACTTATAACATTTTTTTTCTTTTTTTTAGTAAAACTGAGACCACGCAATTTTTTATTTTTTTTTTTTTTTTTTTTTTGTGAGATGAAGTCTCACTCCGTTACCCAGGCTGGACTACAGTGGCACAATCTCGGCTCACTGCAACCTCTGTCTCCTGGTTCAAGTGATTCTCCTGCCTCCGCCTACCAAGTAGCTGGGACTATAGGCGTGTGCCACCACGCCCAGCTAATTTTTTGTATTTTAGTAGAGACAGGGTTTCACCATGTTAGCCAGGAAGGTCTGGATCTCCCGATCTTGTGATCCACCCGCCTCAGCCTCCCAAAGTGCTGGGATTACAGGTGTGAGCCACCATGCCCGGCAATTTATAACATTCTTTCAGTAACATTAGAGATGGAGAACAGAGTAGTGGCAGCCAGGAGAGATGGGGAAGGGCAGAGAGGTGGATGTGGTTATGAAGAGACAGCACAAGAGAGAACTGTACTGATGCAATGCTTCTGTGTCTTCCCCATTTGTGTAGTGGGTACACTAATCTACATGATGAAACTGCACAGAATAAACACACATGTGCACATAGTGAAACCTAAATTAGCTCTAGGGATTGTACCAATATACAATCCAAATTGTACATTGAAACTGAATGCAAGGGTTTTGATATTGCACTACAGTTATGCAAGATGCTACCGCAGGGAGAAAGTGGGTGATGGGTATACAGGATCTCTCTGAAGATTTTTTGCAACATCATGTGAATCTATAATTATTCCAAAATTAAAATTTAAAAATCAGAGACACATACAGATACACTTGCAGATTAAATGACACACGTCTGGGTTTTTGCACTTTAAAACACTCCATAGGAGCCAAGCATGGTGGCTCGCGCCTGCCATCCCAGCATTTTGGAAGGCCGAGGCAGGTGGATCACTCGAGGTCAGGAGTTGGAGACCAGTTTGGCCAACATGGTGAAACCTTGTCTCTACTAAAAATACAAAAACTTAGCTGGTCATCGTGGCAGGCACCTGTAATCCCAGCTACTTGGGAAGCTGAAGCAGAAGAATCGCTTGAACCCAGGAGATGGAGGTTGCAGTGAGCTGAGACTGCACCATTGCACACCAGCCTGGGCAACAAGAGCGAAACTCCATCGCAAAACAAATAAACAAACAAACGAATGAGAAAACTCCAGGAGGAAAAAAAATAAAGGACAGAAAGTAGGAGGAACATGAAACAGAATCAACAATTTGTTGATAAGTGTAGAAGCTTGGTGAGGAATACATACGGGTCCATACAGTTTGCTAATTTTGTGTTTGAAAATTTCCAAAATAGAAGTTTTACTAAGTTCCCAGGTGTGCTTAGGCCAACACAAGGGCTACGCCTGACTTATTTGTCCACCTTGCTGTTAACTTTTGAACATAAATTAAGGTCAAAGCTTACAGTTCTATTTATTTACAAAGCTTTTATTATGAATATTTATTGAGATTTTCATAAACCACATGTTCAATCTGCTTGTGTACTACTTTTTGCCTCTAAGAAGTCCCACAAAGTTATAAAAAATAAAAATTTATAAATACACATTGAGAATTATGCATTTTTATACAACAGGCAGGTCAGTGTTTTAAGTTGTCTCATCCTTTTCCTGTCTCCCCTCAGAACAAAATTATAAGAGTACAGCCTCTGAAATCTCAACAGCAGAAATAGCAACCCTTTTCCAAACCCTGCCTATAACTCAGCACAACTGCACTCACAGGCGCTGACTTTGCATAATAACAACAAATGGAAACTGCAGAAACACTGACTGGGATGACACCTCCCAAGAGCAGTGAGAACAGCAAGCTGGGATTGGCCATGGCTTGAATGTGGGGCTGTGTTTATCAACTCATCAGGCCAAGAATCTCAAAGAACTGAATCACAAACCCTGAGAAGCGCACATAGGCTAGCCTAACTGCTTTGATCTAGGACAGTTTCAGGTTACTACCAACCTGAAAAACTCCTATTTAATCCAGTTGGCGAATTCAATTTTTTTTTTTTTCTAGCGTCCCCCCCTTAGTTCCTGATAAGCAGCTCTTTCCTTCTAGACAAAATGACACAGTACAGTGAGGCCAGAGGAACACGGAGTCTGCTCTCAAGTCCTCAAGTGTTTCAAGTTTCCAAATTCACCAAGGGAATGGAAGATTAAGAGATGGGCTGGGCACTGTGGTTCACGCCTATAATCCCAGCAGTTTGGGAAGCCCAGGTGGGCAGATCACTGGAGGCCAGGAGTTCAAGACCAGCCTGGGCAACACAGCAAAATCCCGTGTCTACTAAAAATACAAAAAAAAATTAGCCAGGCCTGGTGGCAGGCACCTGTAATCTAGCTACTCTGGATGCTGAGGCAAGAGAATCACTTGAACCTGGGAAGTGGAGGTTGCAGTGAGCCAAGATAGCACCACTGCACTCCAGCCTGGGCAACACAGTGAGACCTTGTCTCAAAACAAACAAACAAACAAACAAACAAAAAAGGAGAGTTGAACTGTGGAAGCCAAAGGGGTATACTGAAGTTAAAGATGGACTAAGGATTCTAATTTGGGGATCGGCTTATTCATCCAGTGTTCACTTCCAGGTGTCGTTGCATTTTTCTTCCTTGGGTTTAGTTTTAACAGCTCTTCCTTAGGAGACCAGAAAGGTGTTTTCTGGTTTGTAGGCACATTAAGAATGACACTGTTTTCCCCATAGGAATACAAAGCAGTTGGACAAACTGAGACCTGCCTGTTGGAGAACCCCTCAGCTTGGCTCATTCCAGCCCCTCCACCAGCCTTCCGGCCAACCAGCCAGGTTTCTCAGCTTTCAAAACACAAGATGAGGCCCAGCCCTCAACATCCCACTCACCCCACCAAACCCTTTCCTATTGTTTACTTTATTCCTATTGTTTTTTTGAAATGGAGGCTTGCTCTGTCGCCCAGGCTGGAGAACAGTGGCACGATCTTGGCTCACCGCAACCTCCACCTCCTGGGTTCAAGTGATTCTCCAGACTCCGCCTTCCAATTAGCTGGAATCCCTGGATTACAGGCACCTGCTACCACACCCGGCCAAATTTTGCATTTTTAGTAGAGAGGGGGGTTTCACTATGTTGGCCAGGTTGGTCTTGAACTCCTGACCTTGTGATCCACCCGCCTCGGCCTCCCAAAGTGCTGGGATCAGAGGCATGAGCCACCGGGCCTGGCCTTCTTTTGTACTGTTTAAACCCCATGGCTCCTCTATCAAGTCCCAGCATAATACAGCTGACGCTCTAGGCTCTTGTGAGAGAAAAATCTCTTCTTCCAGAAGGGGCAAGACTTGGCAGTTCCCAAGCACACATTCCTCAGAGAGGCAATAAATGGTAACTCTCTCAGGAGCAGAGTGCTGCCCGCTTCGGGGAGCTGTCATCAAATGCTGAGCAGAGGATAGGTGCAGCCCTGACATGTCGCCCTCCTTCACAGTGATGAATCTGCTCAAGACTCCTGATTCCTGCTGGCCCCGGATCAAAGCTGTGCTGTGTGGGCCTCCTGTTTCCAACACGTTGAGGGCGTGCACAGTCACTTTCCATCAGCAAAACGGAGCACTTGGAGCCCAGATCCCAGATGAGGAGAGAAACAAGAATGGGATGGGAAAGTGGTGCCACAAATTGTGAGTCAATACATGGGATGCGGATATCCTGAAATACACGCTGGACAAACAGTCTTCTTCATAATAAGCACAGCAGCAAAGAGCCCTTTCTTTCCCGTCACTTTCCCTGGTCTCCTAAGTTTCAAAGAAATCAAATCCTGTGATAACAAACGAAGTCACTGGCTGCTGCTATGCCCCAGTGCCTGTCTTGGTTGATTGAGAAAGTCTCTGGCTGGGTGCAGTGGCTCACGCCTGTAATCCCAGCACTTTGGGAGACAGAGGCGGTAAATCACTTGAGGTCAGGAGTTTAAGACCAGCCTGGCCAACATGGCGAAACCCCACCTCTCTAAAAATACAAAAATTAGCCGGGTGTGGTGGTGCATGCCTGTAATCCCAGCTACTCAGGAGGCTGAGGCAGGGGAATTGCTTGAATCTGGGAGGCGGGGGCTACAGTGAGCTGAGATGGCACCACTGCACTCCAGCCTGGGTGACAAGAGTGAAACTCCAACTCCAAAAAAAAAAAGTTGCATTATTCTGTTCATATCTTCCTCAACCCAAACAGCCAGTCAAAATAGGTCATCTTAACAGACAGTTTGCCATGAAAATCATGTCCAATCACACCCTGCAGCCTCGGCTCAGTCATGAGGAGGTAGGTCATCCTCTCTTCTTCCCTCGAGTGGCTTTAACTCCCCTGGGGTGGATGTGGAATCTGCGCCCCTGTACAAGCCAGGTTTCCTTCTCAGCTCAGGAGAGGGACCTAGAAAGAAGAGGAACTATGGAGCCTCCTGGTAGGGGCCCTGTCTGCTCTCCTTCTAGGGGAAAACAGCTCCAGCGCTGCAACGGTTGGTCCTTAGCCTGCAGGACACTCAACCACTAAGGAACAAGAGCTGTGTATGGGATCCAAGTAAGGACAAGAAAAGGGAGACTATTCCTTCTCATCAGAGTGGCTCTCCCCAAGGTTCAACCCCACCGAGGAGCCTCTTTTCCACCAAGGAGCAGAGAAGACCATCTCGGTGGGACAGAGAAGGCTCCCTGGACCCCAGCCTCCAACTCACTTCTTCCTGCGGATCTTGGGCTTCTTCACGGGCCGCAGATAAGGATTATCGATGATGTTTTCCTCCCCATTCCGGCTTCCTGACAAGGAGGGGTTCTGCTGCAGGACAGAGGTGTTCTCCTTCTCAGCTCCAGAATCCTCCTTTGAGCAAAAGCCGAAATAAAGCACAACACCAACAGCATAAGGAAAGAGATCATGCCCATAATTGGAATGACTGTTAGCAGCCTTTCACTGAGAAATTAGGACCTGGGAAGCACCTTCTTTCCAGCGTTCCTATCTCTGCCCCCGATGAAGTGAGGATCAGGCAGGGGCTGGCTACAAAGAAAAGGCAAGACTAACAGCCTTGACCCAGGACAGCACACAACAGAGTCCAGAGTCTTGAACCTCTGGAGAAGGCAGGGACAGGGGTTAGAAAGAACAGAGACCTGTGAGGGATAGGAATCAAATTCAGATGTTTCAGGGAAGATGCCCAGCCTGGGGGGGAGATGAAGAGGAAAGTGGCCCCGGATGCCCTGCAGGACTGGGAGATACGGGATCGGAACAAATCATTTGCATAGGGTATGATGCAGGACATCAGGAGTTAGCCTACATCAGAACAGACTTCCCCCTTGAATTCTCAAATTTCTGGTGCCTGCTACCAATGATCACATCCCAGCATAGGCCAGAAACTTCAAGAGCCCTGAGGGTTCTACTAACAGAAGCAGAGCCTGCAAGTATCAGCACATGCACATCATCGGTCATGCCTATCTGCAACCTCTGCAACCTACAAGGCAGGTTTTTTTTTTTTTTTTTTTTTTTTTGGTGAGACAGAGTCTCACTCTGTCACCCAGGCTGGAGTGCAATGGCATGATCTCGGCTCACTGCAACCTTTGCCTCCCGGGTTCAAGCAATTCTCTGCCGCAGCCTCCCAAGTAGCTGGAATTATAGGCATGTGCCACGATGCCTGGCTAATTTTTGTATTTTTAGTAGAGCCAGGGTTTCACCATCTTGGCCAGGCTGGTCTTGAATGTGTGACCTCGTGATCCACCTGCCTCGGCCTCCCAAAGTGCTGGGATTACAGGCGTGAGCCACCAGGCCTGGTCTGGGTTTTTGAGACAGTCTCTTTGTGTCACCCAGGCTGGAGTCAGTGGCACAATCTTGGCTTACTGCAGCCTCTGCCTCCCGAGTTCACGCGATTCTCCTGCCTCAGCCTCCAGAGTAGCTGGGATTACAATCAAGTACCATGATGTCCAGCTAATTTTTTTTTTTTTTTGAGACAGAATCTCACTGTATCTCCAGGCTGGAGTGCAGTGGCGCAATCTCGGCTCACCGAAACCTCCAGCTCCCTGATTCAAGCTATCCTCCTGTCTCAGCCTCTCGAGTAGCTGGGATTACAGGTGCCTGCCACCTCAGCCAGTTAATTTTTGTATTTTTATTAGAGATGGGGTTTCACCATGTTGGCCAGGATGGTCTCCATCTCCTGACCTCGTGATCTGCCCACCTCGGCCTCCCAAAGTGCTGGAATTACAGGCGTGAGCCATCACACCTGGCCTAATTTTTGTATTTTTAGTAGACATGGGGTTTTACCAGTTGGCCAGGCTGGTCTCGAACTCTAAGGCAGGGTTTTTTTTACTGTTTATTTTTTAGAAAAATGTGGTTTTTCAGAAAAGTTTATAAGTTCACATGTAATCAGCAGGATCAAAATTTTTCAAGTCACAGTTGTGTATAGACACAGAAAAAGGCAATACTTTGACATTTAAAAAACTGTTCTGGGAGGATGAGTTCTCCTTCCCTTAGTCACACACGCCTGTATTTTCCACATTTGGTCAGGCTGCGCCCCCTGGTGATGGTCAAGGGGAAGAAGTCACCGAGATTCCTGTTCTGCAAATTGAGGCTAAAGAGACCCTCACTGACCTCAAGCAGGAAAGGTTGCTGTCAAAACAGGCAGAGGACACTGTGACTGGATGGCATGAAATGAACAGCAGCTTCCCCCCACAGGACAGCTGGCCTAGGGCATGGACACCAGTCTCAGGCTTAATGAGCCGGAAGAAACCAGATCACAGCCAGGCTCCCCTGCGTGCCCTCTCACTGTCCTAGCAACTGTTCTCTTCAAAGACCCAGTTCCATTCACCCAGTATCAGGGGCTGTGTGCTTTCTCTCTCCAGCACCCAATCCAATGGGGCCACAAGGTGACCTAGAGCCACTGGGGCCTCCTGGAGACTCTTGAAAGCAAGTGCCGCTGGACCAACCTAGCTCAAGCCAGACCAGGTTCTGGAAAAAAGGTCTGTCCACAACCAGACCTCCCTTGGGTATTTGATGTCCAACCTTTCTGGAGTTCCTAATGGCGTGACTGAGTAGTATGTCCGTCCTCCGTCCACCCCATCATTTCTCTATAGTAGACAGCCTATGTTCAAAGTTACTGGAAGTTGCCGGGCACAGTGGCTCACGCCTGTAATCCCAGCACTTTGGGAGGCAATCATTCTGCTTGGGCCCACCACTGCCTCTTGCCTAGGCTTGAACCTGGGAGGCAGAGGTTGCAGTGAGCCAAGATCACGCCGTTGCACTCCAGCCTGGGCAAAAAGAGTGAAAACTCCTCCAAAAAAAAAAAAAAAAAAAGGAAAAGTTATTGGATGTTCACTTCAACTGTGCCTTCAGTGTTTTCTGAGATCCAGATGGAGGTAACTCAGAAAAGTGCTGAAAACGCTCGCCTCAAGACACTGCTGGAGGGTCCAGAGGCTCCCTCCATTCAGCACAGCATGGTTCGCAGAGCAGGGTGACAGCTTCTCTTCTCCCAAGCAGGCTTCACAGAAACGTCCCCTTCAGGGACAGGTAGCATTGAGATGGGGAGAAGTGGGGGAGTCAGTTAAAAAAAAAAAATCAGTCAGTAGGCTGGCCGTGGTGGCTCATGCCTGTAATCCCTGCACTTTGGGATGCTGAGGCAGGCAGATCACCTGAGGTCAGGAGTTCGAGACCAGCCAGGCCAACATGGTGAAACCCTGCCTCTACTAAAAATAGAAAAAAAATTAGCCGGGTGTCGTGGTGGGCACCTGTAATCCCAGCTAGTTGGGAGGCTGAGGCAAGAGAGTCACTTGAACCTGGGAGCCGGAGGTGGCAGTGAACCGAGACTGCACCATTGTCCTCCAGCCTGGGTGACAGAGCAGGTCTCCATCTCAAAAAAAAAAAAAAAAAAAAAAAAGTCAAACTGACCCAGAGATTTGTAAAAAAGGTGGGAGCGAAATGGTCTATCAGGAGCTCCCTGAATGGCCTGTGAGCTCTAGCAAGCCCCACACCCTCCGTGGTGACTGCATCCAGTCTCCCAGCTCTCAGTGCCACGTCCACGCCAGCGGCTCCCTGGCATACATCTCCAGCCCTCACCTCTCCCGAATTCCAGGCTCAAGCAGCCAACTGCTCACTCAGCATCTCTACTGGGATGTCAGGGAGGCAGCTCTGACTTTAGGCACCTAAGTCTGAATTAGGGACCTTCCCCTGTGTGTTCTCTTCCCCGGCTCTTCTCAGCCCCTCCCATCACAGGTGATGGCAACTCCATCCTTCTCATGGCGCAAGTCACAAACTCTGTGGTCATTCTTGCTTGTTTTTTTTCTTTACTTTTTAAACAGTGTCTCACTATGTTGCCCGAAACTGGACTCAAATTCCTGGGCTCAACCTTCCTGCCTCAGCTTCCCAAGTGACTGGGACAACGGGATGCACCACACACCTGGCACGCTTCCTTTCTTTTGCTGACATACCACACCGTCTGTTAGGACATCCTCTTGGACTTACCTTCAAACTACAGGCAGGTACTGACCACTTCCACCACCCTGGTGGCAACCACAATGCTTGGGCCCACCACTGCCTCTCACCTAGGCTACAGTGACAGTTTCCTGACTAATCTCTTTAGTCTGTTCTTACCAAGCCATCAGAGTGACTGACACTTTAAGAAGCTCAGAAACGTCCCTCCTCTGCTCCACACCCTCCCACAACTCCCATCTCACTTAGTTAAAAGCCAGCTCTTAAAACAGCCTACAAGGCCCTCCCTCCCTCAAGCCCCTCACTATTCCACAGGGTTTCTGCACTGCGCATTCCCTCTGCCAGAACATTCTTCCCCAGACATCCACATGGCTCAATCCTTCACCCATTTCAAGCCCCTGCTCACCTATCCCATTCTCAGTAACACCTACTCCAAGTACCCCCCTTAAAACTGAAGGTTCCTCCTCACCCCGGATCTTCCCCTACTATTTCTCCCCCCACAGCACTTTCATCTCTGATATATTATGTAATGATTTATTCATATTTTATGTTTACTGCCATTCTCCCACAGCCAAACATAGGCTCCTAAAAGGCAGAGGTTTTCTTTGTTTTTCTCACTGCTTTATCCCAAGCAGCCAGAACAGTATCTGGCACATACTAGGTGCTAAATAAACACTGGTTGAGTGAGAGACTGGTACATTTTTCATAAAAGAGTGAAAGCGCCAGGTGTGGTGGCGTGTGCCTGTAGTCCCAGCTACTTGGGAGGCTGAGGTGGGAGGATCGCTTGAGCCCAGGAGTTCTGGGCTGTAGTGCGCTATGCCGATCGGGTGTCTGCACTAAGTTTGGCATCAATATGGTGACCTCCCGGGAGCAGGGGACCACCAGGTTGCCTAAGGAGGGGTGAACCGGCCCAGGTTGGAAATGGGGCAGGTCAAAATTCCTGTGCTGATCAGTAGTGGGATTGCACCTGTAAATAGCCACTGCACTCCAGCCTGGGAAACAAAGCAGAGTAAAAGTTTAGCTGGGCACAGAGGCTCACACCTGTAATCCCAGCACTTTGGGAGGCCAAGGCGGGTGGATCACAAGGTCAGGAGTTCAAGACTAGCCTCACCAAGATGGTGAAACCCCGTCTCTACTAAAAATACAAAAATTTCGGCCGGGCACGGTGGCTCAAGCCTGTAATCCCAGCACTTTGGGAGGCCGAGGCGGGTGGATCACGAGGTCAAGAGATCGAGGCCATCCTGGTCAACATGGTGAAACCCCGTCTCTACTAAAAATATAAAACATTAGCTGGGCATGGTGGCACATGCCTGTAATCCCAGCTACTCAGGAGGTTGAGGCAGGAGAATTGCCTGAACCCAGGAGGTGGAGGTTGCGGTGAGCCGAGATCACGCCATTGCACTCCAGCCTGGGTGACAAGTGGGAAACTCCGTCTCAAAAAAAAAAAAATTAGCCAGGCATAATGGTGGGCACCTGTAATCCCAGCTACTCGGTAGACTGAGGCAGAGAATTGCTTGAACCCAGGAGCTGGAAGTTGCAGTGAGCCAAGATTGTGCTGCTGTTCTCCAGCCTGGACAACAGAGTGAGACTCCCTTCCAAAAAAAAAAAAAAAAAAAAATTCAAGATACACTCCAGAGAAAGAAAAGAAAAAAGTAAAAAAAAAAAAAAAAAAGAAAGAAAAAAAGGTAAAAGTATCTGGGTTGGCTGCAGAAAGCAACTGGTCCAAATACTTGAGAAAACAATCTATTATACATGAATTTAAAATGAATAGCTCCTTTAGGTTCAAGTACATGGAGAAACTAGAACCAGGGTAAATAAAGTACTACCTAACAACAGACCTTGAGAGGTGCACTGTCATCAAAGACAAAAGAAATAACAAAATACCAGTTATTTACTTCGCTATAACAATGTCTGTAAATGCTAAAGACAGAAAACCGCCTAAATGTTCATGGGGGACCAGATAAATGAAAGGGTTACATCCACATAATGGAAGAAAAAGCAGCTGTGAGGAATGGTGCAGCTCCTCCCTGACAGACGTGGAAGGACCGCCAAGACAAAGCCGGGGAAAAAGCGAGAAGAGAACAGTGTGTGATCTGCTGTTTCTGTTCAAAATAACAATTAAAAAAATGTCTCTAGAAGGATACACAAGAGGCTGGTGAGACAGTTGCTCTGTGGGAGGGAAAGTGGGTGACAGGGAACAGGATGGGAGGGATTGTCACCATACATCTTTTCGCACGCTCTGAATTTTGAAACATATGATTGTATTTCCCAGTCTAACAAAATAACATTAGGCCCAACTGACTGTAGTAAATTGTCACTAGAATCTTTGTCTTGAAGTCTTTTTATTTTTCACAGAAAGGCATATATCCAAATCTCCACCTGACATCACCACCTGATGTTTAACAAGCATCTCAAACTTAACTTGTCTATGTTTAAGACACAAACATGAACTCCTAACTTCCCCCACACACCTCTTCCACCCACTGGTTGTTCCTATTTTGGCTGAAGGCAATTCTATCTTTCCTATCGTTCAGGCAAAAAAACCTCACAGCTCTCTCTCTCTTCTCTCTATCTACTCTATCAACTAGTTCTGCTCTGAAAGTGATCTAGAATCTGACCACATAATCTAGGTGACCACATAATCTAGGTGACCATATAATCTAGGTGACCACATCTCTCCTATCTTTGCTCCTCCTACCATCTCTCAGTTTACCGTGACAGCATACTAACTGGTCTCTCTGCTTCTGCCTGCCCTCTATAGCCCGTCCTCAGCACAGCAACCTGCTGATCCTGTTAGCAAACTTACATCAGATCCTGACCTTCCTCTGCTCAACATCTCCAGTGGCTCCGTCTTACTGAGTAAATGGCAAAGTGTCTACTATAACCTTTAAGACCCTGTGAGATCCGACTCCCCATGGGCTGTCTCTGACCTCATCCCCTACTGTTCTCCCTCTTATTCACTCCACCCTGGCCACCCTGATGTCCTTGCTGTTCTTCAATTCAACAGGGAGTTCCCTGTTCAACAGGGCCTCTGCAGCTGCTGTTCCTGCTGCCTAGAATGGCTCCACTCTCAGTCATGTGCCTGCCTTGTTCCCTTCAGGGATTTACTCAAATGTCACCTTCTCAGTCACCCTATCTAATGCTGCACCCCTCCCATCCCCATCCCCATCCCCACTTCCTATCTCCTCATTTATTATTTTTCCTTAGCCCCACGAGGGCAGGGAATTTTGGATATTTTGCTTTCTACTAATTCCCCAGCACCTGAAACTGTGCCTGGCCTTGCCCCAGGCACTCATTCAATATTTGTTGAATAAACGATTGAATCCCCAGGACACAGATGTGTCTCTAAGCAAGAGATCAGGTCACACCTCGATCATTACGCAAGCCCTCAAGCAGGCCCCTAACATAAAGCCAGAGACCTGAGGTCGATCATGTCTAGGTCCCAGGGTGACAGACTAAGGCAGGGTGGGATAGTTGGGGGGATACTCTGAGGTAGGCAGAAGGTGGGACCCACCATGCTGATATGAAGAGCAAGGTTCTCTGTGTCTGTCTGTTCGTCCTGCTCCGAGGAATCTGTCTCTTCCATTTGTTGCATCTCCAGCTCAGATGGAAGAAGAGCTGTCAGGTAGGGGATGGTGAAAGGTCTGGCAGCAATCACTGGTGAATTGGAAGAGAGGCATGAGTCCGCTGTCACGGAGACCTTGCAGCTAGCCTAGAGTCCTAGAGCCTCATAAGCAATCAGTGAGCAGCACCAAATGATAATACTAGCTAACTCACTCCAAGTACTTACACAGCAGGCCAGGAAATGTCCCATGGGCTTTACACATGTTATCTTTCACCCCTGCTCCCATCCTATTAAGTAAGTGCCATTAGGCACAGAGAGGTGAAATGACTTTCCCAAGCATGCTGGAAGTGGCAGAATGAGGTTGCAACTCAGGCAATATGACTTCGGAATCTACTTTTTGCCAGGTACAACTGAGATAGGATTGAAATGGGATTATAGACAGAATCCTGGCAACACATGAATTTTGAGATCTTGCACCCAAGGTCAGTTAAACCCCTCTAAGCTTCATTTCCAGAGCAAGAATATTGATTCTTTTGGTCTGAAGGACTCAAGTCCAACGGCTGGACTTGAGCACTCTGCATATATGCATGTCCACTGAGCTGTAAGACACTCTGGCAAATGAGAGTTCTAGTTCTTCCAAAAAGCAACGAGGACGAGAGGAAGAAATTGATTTAAAAATGATATTAAAAGAAAGAAGACCAAGTGTGGTGGCTTATGCCTATAATCCTAGCACTTTGGGAGGCTGAGGCAGGAGGACTGCTTGAGCCCAGGAGTTTGAGACCAGCCTGGGCAATATGGTGAAATCCTGTCCCTAGGAAAGACAAAATTAGCTGGGTATAATAGTGCAATGTAGTCCCAGCTACTAGGGAGGCTGAGGTGGGAGGCTCACTTGAGTCCAGGAGGTAGAGGCTGTAGTGAGCTGTGTTTGTGCCACTGTACTCAAGCCTGGGCGACAAAGTGAGATCCTGTCTCAAAACAGGAAAAGAAAAGGTCTCCGTGGATACTTCTGTGGTAGAATGTGACTGTTAGAAAATACTCTAGAATTGGCTGGGCACGGTGGCTGGTGCCTATAATCCCAGCATCTTGGAAGGCTGAGGCGGAGAGATCACTTGAGCTCAGGAGTTTAAGACCAGCCTAGCCAATATGGTGAAACCCCATCTCTACTAAAAATACAAAAAATTAGCCAGGCGTGGTGGTTCATGCCTGTAGTCCCAGCTACTCAGGAGGCTGAGGAAGGAGAATCACTTGAACCCGGGAGGCAGAGGTTGCAGCGAGCAGAGATCCTATCAGTGCACTCCAGCCCGGGTGACACAGCAAGACTCCATCTCAAAAAACTCCACAAAAACTCCAGAATTATTTTTGCTGTGGGTCAGGCGTGAGGTCCCACAGTTAAGAACTAGGTTTGAATGCTACCTACTGGCCATGTTCCTTGAGCAAGTGACTTCATTTCTCTTCTCTTATGCCTCACTGAGGGGTTCCCATGAAGGTGGTGATTGTATCAGTTCCCAACTCAGAGGCTCACGAGAGGATTTAATGAGATAACGTAAGGGAAGTGTTCAGCACAGCATCTGGCACTTAATAACTGGCAGCTGCTGTTATTCCAGAGCCAGGCACACAGCAGGCATTCCACAGGAGCTTGCTGGATGAATCAATCACCTAAACCAACCTCCCTCACTCACCTTTGTAAAATCTGAGGTCTCTGGAAATGAAAGAGCTTGGTCAATGTGGCCAAATAGTGCTGAGATGCAAAGTTAGATGAGACGGGACCTATGAGGGAACATTGCAATGGACAGCTGGCCCCTGATGCCAGTGTTCCTTCTACTACCTGGGCTGCCACTGAGTGTCTCTGATGCCTAGGCCTAGGCCACCCTCAAGGCAACTCAATGGACCTCAAGCAGCCAATCCCAACAGAGGCCTTTACTGTTTTGGAGTCATCAGTTAGGGACAGACTCTTAAGACATGGGAAAAGGAGCCAGAAATCTAAGGGACAAGCTGTGTCCAAGAGAAGGAAAAAGGCTTATTTGTTTCTTCCTACCACGCTGAGAGAAAGGGAACACAGTGTGAGTATTTCTTTTTTTTTTTTTTTGAGATGGAGTCTTACTCTGTTGCCCGGGCTGGGGTGCAGTGGTGTGATCTGCAACCTCTGCCTCCAGGGTTCAAGTGATTCTCTTGCCTCAGCCTCCTGAGGTGCTAAGATTACAGGCGCCTGCCACTACACCCAGCTAATTTTTTATATTTTTTGTGGAGACGGGGTTTCACCATGTTGGTCAGGCTGGTTTCGAACTCCTGACTTTGTGATTCACTCGCCTAGGCCTCCCAAAGAGCTGGGATTACATGTGTGCCAATGCTCCCAGCGGTATGAGTATTTCAAATGATAAGACAGGGTCCATGCAGTGGGGCAACTCTTACATGGAAATGTGCTGACATCATCTTTGAAAAGACTCTGGGTCTCGCCTGTCTTGGCCATGAAACGGGTGAGTGCCCGCTCCACATCGCGCCTCTGGGATGCAGCCTTTTCCCGCAGGACCTGGTAGTCTGACACGGGCTCACGGTACGTCTACAAAGAGAACAGCAGAGACACTGGGGTGATGCCAAAGTATCATTCTGCTATCGTCAGCACCCTGGCTTGCTGTTGCTACGTGCTACTCTCTAAAATGACTTCATACCATTAGTTAGAGCCAAGATCACCAAAGCACAGTAGAAAGGCAGAAAAACAATGTAACCACATTAATATTTATTTCTAATTAAAAATTAAGAAATGTGCAAATATTTACTGCAGAGATTGTCCTGGGGCCTTCATTCAGCTCCCATGACAGATGGTCTCAGGTCTAAGAGACACACGCTGAATAAAGAGTGGGAGTGCCCCCAGGGAAGCCTTGATGGGGACCACAGGCTCCATCAGCGTAATGTGACCTGGTGTATGGGAATGGCTATGTGGATTTGTGGATTATACTATCCCATCTTCTTAAATCAATCCTCACAATATGGATACATTGTTCCAAAAAGATTCCCTCAATGAAAGAGAGGCTGAAAAATCTTATTATACGTGCAAGTGACCAAGAAAATGTCAGGCTGCCACTCTTCCTCCTAATTATGAGCTCGTTGGCAATCAAGTGAAAACGACTGAGATCGGAATGAGAAATGGGCCAAAACATTTTATTATTTTTTGAAGACAGAGCCCTGCTCTGTCACCCAGGCTGGAGTACAGTGGCTCGATCTCGACTCACTGCAACCTCCGCCTCCTGGGTTCAAGCGATTCTCCTGCCTCAGCCTCCTGAGTAGCTGGGACTACAGGTGTGCACCACCACGCCTGGCTAATTTTTGTATTTTTTAATAGAAATGGGTTTCACCATATTGGACAGGCTGGTCTTGAACTCCTGACCTCGTGATCCGCCTGCCTCAGCCTCCCAAAGTGCTGGGATTACAAGCATGGACCTCTGCGCCTGGCCCACATTCTGAGTTTTGAACCACCCTTTCACCAACAAGCTTTTGGGCTAGACTCTGCCACCTGACAGTCAGTAGGAACTGACTCCATACTTTATACCACACACAGCCCCAGTGTGGCTTTATCACTCACCGGAGTTTTGATGTAAGTGTGGGGATCAGGGAACTCAGGAAAATGGCTGGGGATGTGCGGCGGGTGGGGTCGGTTCTGCCCTGCAGTGAGGGCCTTGGGGGTCACTGGCTGATTAGTCACCGGAGCTGCAACAGAGTCACAACTGATTACCCCTCCACCCAAGACCCTGGTTTCTACAGATTATGGTCTCTCCCTAAAGCCTCCTTTTCTCAAAGAAAATGCCAGACCTCAGTTTTCTAAACAAGTGGTATTTTGTATTTCAGTCAATAGAAGGTCTTTGATGGCTTAAGGACCTGCACCCCACAATGCCCAACCTGCTGGCTGATCTTGATGGACGTTCCCTTTGACAACAATCTGCCCATGAGCCTCTTAGGTGGAGGTGGGTGGCTGTGGCCACAGTAACTACGTAAGACAGCATGCTAAGGAGCTATGAAAGTTACATGGGCTGCCGATTCTCTTTTCAGAGACCTTGGATAACAGAGACGAACAATGAGCTGGGGACAATACGTGTGGGCTTAATCATAACAAGGGGGGTTGAAAGTGGCACTTTCCACTGCTACCTTGAAAGGGAGCATTTAAAAAAAAAAAAAAACCCAACATAAAAAAATTGACTTTAAAGAAAAAATCCAGGCTGGGTGTGGTAGCTCATGCCTGTAATCCCAGCACTTTGGGAGACTGAGGTAGGTGGATCACTTGGGGTCAGGAGTTTGAGACCAGCCTGGCCAACATGAAAAAACCCTGTCTCCACTAAAAATATAAAGGTTAGCTGGGTGTGGTGGTGGGCACCTGTAATCCCAGCTACTTGGGAGGCTAAAGCCGGAGAATAGCTTGAACCTGGGAGGCAGAGGTTGCAGTAGTGAGCCGAGATCGTGCCACCGCCCTCCAGCCTGGGCCACAGAGTGAGACTCCATCTCAAAAAAAAAAAAGAAAAAATCCAGTTTATTCTCTCTGGGTCCTACCAGCCCAAACTGGTTACTCTCTACTCAGCTTATGGCACCCAGTTTTACCTGAACTTTGTCATCAAACTTTGTGTAAAGGGCCATATAATAAATGCTTTAGGTTTTACATGTGATACAGTCTCTACCATGACTAAATTCTGCCATTATAGCATGAAAGCAACCACAGATAATGAGTAAATATGGCTGCGTTCTGATAAGATTTTATTTACAAAAACAGGAGGCAGGCTGCCTTTGGCCTATAGGCCACAGTTTACCAACCCTTACACTAAGGAGAACAAGAATCTTCATTTTTCCAAGCAGCATCATTTGCTTTTCTGGGGCTAGAGCACAAGAACCACAGCGATATCTCAGAGACGGTTTACCTTTTGGTGACTGAATTTCACATGCTAATCCCACTAGCCCAAACAAAGACGATATTGCACGTAGCCCCAAACATTGGAAGAGAGCCACAAGGAAGTAGCTACTAATCCAATGTCTGCCATATTCAATTACTTCATTCCACAAGCATTAGTTGACAAATTACTAAGCACCTCAGTTCGGTCACTTACGAGCAGTGATGACCATCCTCTGAGACCGTTTTGCATAAGCAGGGAGAGTGTCCACATTGAAACCTAAGAGAGAGGAAAACAAGAATCACTGCCAAGACCACTAAATATTGAACACAGAAAGAGGAATAGCATTATGGACAAAGGGCTTAAACGCTCAACTCACTGACCTTGCAGCCTCGCAAAAGAAGCTCTGGCAGAATTCCCTAACAGGGAGTTATGAGGCCTTTTACGTGTGTTCAGAGGAACCTCTCCTGATAACTCTCTCTAGCTCAAAGCAAATCAAGAGAACCATGAGGGAAACCCAGAACACTAGCAGACATGCCTGACTCCTAGGGATTGCTCTTTCCAGTGGCATGGAAGAACTGGAAACTGAAGGTGTACTCACCCATCTCAACAAGTGTGACCACAATATCTGATAGTGTGGGCTGGGTCCTGGCTGTGTGCTCACAGTAAGACTTGGCACTTCTTCCAATTTCTGAAATGTCTAAGAGGGGATTAAAGGCATAAAACTTATTCACAGTTCTTCGGAAAGTTCAACATAGAATTACCATATGAGCCAACAATTCCACTCCTAGGTATATACTCAAATGAATTGAAAGCAGGGATTCAAACAGCTAGTAGTACACCAACAGTCCTAGCAGCATGATTCCCCATAGCCAAAAAGTAGAAACAACCCAGTGTCCACTAACAGGTGAATAACAAAATGTGGTGCATACATACAAAGGAATATTACTCGGCCTTAAAAAGGAAGGAAATTCTGGTAATGTTACAGCATAGATAAACTTGGAAAACATTATGCTACGCCAGGCGTGGTGACTCACACCTGTAATCCCAGCACTTTGGGAGGCCGAGGCAGGTGGATCACCTGAGGTCAGGAGTTCGAGACCAACCTGACCAACATGGCGAAACCCCGTCTCTACTAAAAATACAAAAATTAGCTGAGCATAGTGGTGAGCACTTGTAATCCCCACTATCTGGGAGGCTAAGACATGAGAATAGCTTGAACCCAGGTTGCAGTGAGCTGAGATCAAGCCGTTGCACTCCAGCCTGGATGACAGAACAAAACTCCATCTCAAAAAATAGAAAAGAAAAGATTATGCTAAGGCAGGGTGGGGTGGCTCTCACCTATAATCCCAGCACTTGGGGAGGCGGAGGCGGGTGGATCACTTGAGGTCAGGAGTTCGAGACCAGCCTGGCCAACATGGTGAAACCCCATCTCTACCAAAAATATAAAAATTTAGCCAGGTGTGGTGGTGCATGCCTGTAATCCCAGCTACTCAGGAGGCTGACGCAGGAGAATTGCTTGAACCAGGAGATGGAGGTTACAGTGAGCCAAGATTGCACCACTGTACTCCAGCCTGGGAGACAAAGCAAGACTCCATCTCAAAAAATAAAATAAAATAAAGATCATGTTAAGTGAAATAAGGCAGACAGAAAAGACAAATATAAGATTCAACTTATATGAGGTAAACAGAGACAGAAAGTAGATTAGAAGTTACCAGGGGATGCCGGGAACAGTGGCTCACGCCTGTAATCCCAGCACTTAGGGAGGCTGAGGCGGGTGGATCACGTGAGGTCGGGAGTTCGAGACCAGCCTGACCAACATGGAGAAACCCCGTCTCTACTACCAATACAAAATTAGCTGGGCATGGTGGTGCATGCCTGTAATCCCAGCTACTCAGGAAGCTGAGGCAGGAGAATACTTGAACCCAGGAGGCGGTTGCAGTAAGCTGAGATCACACCATTGTGCTCCAGCCTGGGCAACAGGAGTGAAACTCCAACTCAAAAAAAAGAGTTACCAGGGGATGAAGAGGGAGGGATAATGGAGAGTTACTGTTTACGGTTTAGAATGATGAAAAAGTTCTGAAAATAGGTTTGATGGTTGCATAACATTGTGAATGTACTTAATATTACTGAATTGTACACTTAAAAATGGTTAAAATGGGCCAGACACGGTGACTCCTGCCTGTAATCCTAGCACTTTGGGAGGCCAAGGCAGGCGAATCACGAGGTCAGGAGATCGAGACCATCCTGGTCATGGTAAAACCCCCTCTACTAAAATACAAAAAAATTAGCCAGGCATGGTGGTGCACACCTGTAGTCCCAGCTACTCAGGAGGCTGAGGCAGGGGAATCACTTAAACCTGGGAGACAGAGGTTGCAGTGAGCAGAGATCGTGCCACTGCACTCCAGCCTGGCCACAGAGCAAGACTCTGTCTCAAAA